AAATTCGAAATTCGAACTAAAGAAAATCATTCGAAGGACTCCCAAGTGACCAAATCCCTTCCGGGAGAAGGGCTTAAAACACGACTTAGTGCAAAATTCGAACTAAAGAAAATCACAACTTATTCGAAGGAGGCTATTGCACGTGTCAAATCGGGGGCGTTTTCTTCTCCTTTTGTAACACACAGACCAAAGCGAACGGCAACAGCTGGAAACTGCGTCAAACGAATAACGGAGCCTTTAAAAAATCCCAAACGAGCCCGGGCAGCCGCTCCCTCGCTGCTGGGGGTTGATGCAGAGCTGCCCCCCAGGCTGCGGGGGTCGGTGCAAACCCACCGGCCGCCCTGCGGGAGGGGGCAGGTCCCGACTCCCCCTTTCTCCCGCACGCGAACTTTCCTGTTGCGATAAAAGGGGAAAAGAACAAGTTTTACACAGATTTCAGCAGAGCGTCCAGCTCGCGGGGCGGGGGCGTTGAGGAATCCGTCCCTGCCTTTAAGTGCCCTTACACGCGCGCTGCTGAAAGCGTGGGAGCGCCGGCGCGCTGGGGGAGGGCGGGAGAAGCTTTGCAAGGCGGGTGAGCGAGTACGGAGCCAGAGACGCCGGGCTGGGCCCCGCACGGCCTTCGGTGCTGGCAGAGAAAGCGAGAGACCTGTGGAAACGCGGGGTTTACGGCACCAAGAAAGTTGCGTTACGTATCGGGGACAATCTCCCTCAAGAGACGCGGTTCGGCGCTGACGCGGGCTGCGCTGGGGGTGGGAAGGTTTCTAAAGGGGGGATTAAACGTGTGGCGGGGGCGATCCGCGCTGGAGGCTGTCTCGGGGGGACCGGAGGGCTCCTGGCAGCGCGTTTTGGCCCGACGTTTCCAGGCCTGGCTGTGCTGGGGGGCGCGTCCCTGCCTGCCCGCTGCCTGCCGGGGAGATAAGCCGTTCGGGCAGGATTATCTCCGACGGCGCCGCGCGTCTCCCCGGGGCCTGGGGTGATCCCTGGGCGCAGCTGCTGAAACACAGCGAAAGGCAAATAAACCAACCGTGAGAGGAAAAAAAAGGGTGAGGGGGTCGGGAGGGGACGTCCGCGAGCACCCGGAGTGAAAAACACAAACGATGTTGGTAAATTCCCCGGTAAACCCACCTCCCGCAGCCAGAGCAACGTCGCCGGCCGTTCTCCAGGCGGGGAAGGGTCGGAGCGCACCCGGCATCAGCTGCGGTTTAGGGCTCACAGGACGGTCTTTCCCCGCCAGCTGAGCCCGCGGCCAGAGGCGGCCGTCGTGCCGCTGAAGACGGGCAGCGAGGATGGCCCGCGGGTTTTAGGATGGGCAGGAGCACGAACGCTGCGTTTGACTCGACGGAAACCCTTCCCCATCCGCGTTTTCGGTCGGGAACGGAAGACTTCGGTGCCCGCGGTGACATCGCACAGCAGAACGAAAACAGACGCCGCCTCCCAGCCCAGCGCTGGCTCCGCTTCAGAGGGCGCTGCAGCGTCCCCTGTGCCCGCGCCGCCTGCGAGGGTCACAGATGAGAACCGCGCTCTGTTTTATTTACTGTCCGTTATTTATTGTTATCCCGGAGCACGACAACGTGCGTTTGGGACCGAACGCCCTCATCAAAACACCCAAGTGTGCTGGACCCATTGGGAGCCTCCGGCGGGGGGGGGGGGGGGGGGGGGCGGGCAGGGGAGGGGGGGGAGAACGGGGGGGGAGGACGGGAAAAAGGGGCCTGAGCGGGCAGCGATGGCGGGACGGGTCAGCAGCCACCGAGGAGGGGACGGGTATCCTCGCCTCAGGAGAGCGCTCGTCACAGAAGCACCGCAGGGCTCTAGCACACGTTAAATTTGGCACGGAAGGTACAGATCAGCGGAAGGGGTCCCCGAGAGAGACGCCGTGTGACCCAAGAGCGCTTTGTGCTCCGCGTAAAAACGGGCGGCGCCAAGTTACTGACCGTTCCCGGAAGGGGGGCAGCGACGGAGCGGCTTCCCGACCGGCTGCCCCC